TGGAACCATATCCCAGGAAACATGCAAAAGAAACGATACGAAACAATAAAATAACAAGGAATGGACAGGAGACGTGTCTATCTATAGACCGGAAAATAATAAATGAAGGACCAGTCAAGACTATAAACTCTTCTAACAATAAGCAGCCTATAAATACCCCAAATATATGATATCCGAGGCAGAGTAAGGTAAGGCAAAACAGAGATAGCATACATAGCATTAAGGTAACACTAAGAATCACAATCTAATTTAGGCATTGGAGAGCTATGTCGGGGTCCAAATTAGATTGCGATTTCGTTTCCGAAGGTCATAACCGTTGGTTGGACCCCGGAATGACGAAATCTAATTTAACATTAAGGTAACACTAAGAATTGAAATCTGAAGGCCATAACCCTTGGTATGGCTATCTGATGCCTAAATTAGATCATGTTGATATGGAGAATGACGAAATTGGACTTAGAATGAAGAAGTAGCCTTCGAAAGATTGGTGGTTCTGGACCCTAGTTGAGTATATTGGGCGTACACTAGGAGTACGTCGGGCGTACTGGCTTGAAATCCAGATCATAGAGGCTTCAGCATATGTAGGACGTATGTATGGACTTGTTTAAGTTAGACCTTGGGCCCACCTGATTGTAGCAAATCATTTTTTGGGCTTAAGGCCATGTTGGGGGTGTTTTTTGGACACACCAAACATGAATGATATTTGTTGAACAATTTTTAAACATAGTTACCCACATAAGTCATTTTCCCTAATCATTATGGTTGCTCACGTAATGTCATTACCACTAAAAGGGAAAATGACTTGTGAGGGGTACTTATTTTTTTGTCTTTTTCACATTTAGGTAAATTTCTTTTATACATATTTGACCATTAACTTGTTAAATGTGTTCACATGTTACCATTGTAACAATGGTAACATGTGAACACATTTAACAAGTTAAATAGTTAAATGTGGTAAAAAAATTTGCCTAAATGTGAACTATTTTTTTTTACAAATTTCTTAGGACTTTTTAAAAGTTTCTTACAATATTTTTATGATATGTTTTTCAAATAGTTTTTTTCTAATACAATGTTTTAAACTTTGCTTACAATTTTTTTTAAAACTTTTTTTTATACTTTCATATAATTTGTATACAAATGCTTTTAAACCAAATATTTTCTAAACGTTTTAATTTTTTTCTTACAAGTTTTTAATTAATTAATTAATTAATTTTTTTTTTACATTTTCATACAATTTTTCATAACTTTCATACTACTATTTCTAAACTCTTTTTTACAATATTTTTAAAGTGTTTCATAGATTTGGTATGACAATTTAATACATTTTTTAACATTTAAAATGCTTTCGTTAAATACTAGTTTAGAATGTTGTATTACAAAAAAAAAACTTTATAAAATTCTAAATTAAAAGTAATAATTTTTTTTAATTATATATATATATATATATATATATATATATATATATATATATATATATATATATATATATATATATAGAGAGAGAGAGAGAGAGATAGGTTCAGGTGTTTAAACTAAGTATTGTGTTATCGTATACATAATTGTGGGCCTATCAAAATTAAATGAATATTTAAATAATTAAATAAATAAACAATGGTAATTTAGTAATTTGATTAATAGCTTCCACAAATAGTCCCTATAATCATGCTAGCATTCATTTTTAACCTAATTTCTTTTCTTATATACACCTTCATCGATTACCGCCTCATTCAATTACCGATGTTGGATGACTTCGAAGAGGCGGCGTCGACAACAGCAGTCAGTAGACACAGCACAGCATAGCCAGGCGCAGGCGGCAACAAACCTTCAGTCTTCTCTTTGTCTTCTCTTTTGTTCTTCTTTCGATGGGTGTCGGAGGGCTGGCTTCCATCGTGTTTGGATTGATTGCCGATGCCTTTAGTGGCGCTAGCTTCAATGTGATCGGTACAATTGCGTTTAGTATCTCCGGTGCTCGTGGCGACGATGATAACCTCATGTCCACCGCCATCTGCTTTCCTGCTCAAGTAATTTAACCAAAAATTACTTTTCATGGTCGTGATTTTTAACGAATTAAGGGTTTCCAATTCCCCAAATTGTTAGCTTACAGTTGAAATTGCGAAAACAGATTGTTACATTCAACTATGAATAGTGTAGAATTGGATCAGTTTTTGTTGATTATTGGTGTTAAACATGTAAAAATAGTGTTTGGTTTCTAAATTGTTGACAGGTGATTGGTGCAGCTGGTGGTGTGATGTCTCTTTTGGAGTTGATGCCATTAGAGTACAAACATCTGCTAGAAGGACCTACTCTAAAAGTAGATTTGCATACTGGAGCCATTATTGAGGGAGTTTTGACTTTCGTTATCACTTTTCTTGTTCTCTTGATCATCATCAAGGGTCCTAACAACTTGTTCTTGAAGAATTGGATGCTTTCCATGGCAACTATGGTGGTGATTCTTGTTGGTTCAAGCTACACAGGTCCTTCAATGAATCCTGCAAATGTAAGTATTACAAAACTCTTTCAGTTTATAGTTAACATAGTTCCTTGATCCCCATATCTGATCTTTGGCAAGATTAATAATTCTTTTCACCACCTGTATTTTGGATTGCAACATGAAAAAAAGAAGAATTCATACGTAACTATGATTTGAAGCTGCCCGCAAAATATATTTACATGTATGTAATCCTTTGGTATGCAATAATCAACCATGGAATGGAATTGAGCATTACAACGAAATGGAATGTGATTCTGGATATTTTTTTTCTTATTGTTACTTTTTGTAAATAATGCAGTGATCATCAAGCTTCGGAATAGGGGGGATACAACAAAGTGAACAACTCTCTTGCTTCACTTTATTAAAAAAAAAAAGAAATTGAAAATTAATTTACATTTGTTATATTGTTTTATTAGTGTTGATTACCATTATTTTTAATGATCAAATGTTGAATACTATTATTTTTGTAGGTACAAAACGAGAGATATCAAAGCAAAATATGGTACATATGAAGCTTCCAACATTCTACTGGAATGAAATCTTAAATTATGATTCTGCCAGAATGGAATTGTGAATATGAACATTGTATGGGATGAAGATAAATAATAACCACCAATCTTCCAAAAAGAATGGATTATTCTATCAAAATAGTATACAATATAATGAAAAATAAATAAATGTAATAGTATATTCTGGAAGAATGATTTATATATTGTGTTTTTTTGTTTTTAATAAGTGTAACATTCTCATAGAATAATATATAATTTTGATTTTTCTTTTTCTAAGAATGTAATGAATTTTTTTTAACTTGTATCCAAATTTTGTTAATCTTCAAGAAGTTTATTAAATCAAAAGATATATTATGTCAGAATGTGTATTATTGTATGGTTTAATCATATTTATTATTTTTTAATATGTTGATAAAATATTCCGTTAGAATTTTCGAATTCAGAGAATTATCGTACATACAATCAGATTTTTAAAATTAATAGAATCTATTTTCCTTAAAATATGCAATTTTCTTTTTTTAAATTTATGTTAATTGACTAAAATACCCTTAGAATGAAATTAGAATGTATTTTTTAATTATATTTAATTTAATAATATTTATTATTCACTACCCAAAAATAAATAAAATGATTGGCCCACAGTTATGTATACAATAACACCATACTTAGTTTAAATAGAATAACCTAAGCATATATATATATATATATATATATATATATATATATATATATATATATATATATATATATATATATATATATATATATATATATTTTTTCTTTTATTTTTTACGAAGTATTTTCTTTTTCTTTTTTTAAAGACCTTTCATGCTTATTATTACATATTTAGTTTGATTTATTTTATTGTTAGATACTATTTAATTTAAAAAAAAAAAATACATATGCTCAAAAACAAAAGAAAAAATATATATAAGAGGGTATATAAAATATTTCACAAAAAAAAGTTAATTAAAAAGTAGAGTTTAGAATTGATCAATATTTAATTAATATTTATAATAGTAAGCTTTTGCTAAAAATAAATTAATAGAAAATTAATTTGTGAAAATCAAAAGACTATAAATAGGATAAATAATCAATCATTATAGATATTTTAAAAATAACATTTGGAAAAATAATATATAAACAAATATGAAAAATAAAATCGCTATTAAAAGTGGGGAAAATGATTTATTAAGATAATTAACTTAGACTATAAATATGATAGATAATCAATCATTATGAATATTTTAAAAACAACTTGGAAAAATAATATAAATAAATATGAAAAATAAAATCACTATTAAAGTGGAAAAAATGAATTATCAAGGTAATTAACTTTACGTTTTATTCACATTTAGGCAGAATATTTTAGAATATTTTTTATATACAGTTGACAATGATAATATGTGAATACATTTAATAAATTAAATCGTTACAAAAAAAACTTGTTTAACTATAAACAAAATAAAAAAGATAATTACCCTGTTAAATCATTTTCCCCCACTAAAACTATGATAAGCTTAAAATCAAACGGTAGTTATTTGTACACAATATTTTTAACAATACACAATTATATAAAACATAAATTGTTGTGGATTCCTAAAAAAAATATTGTGCAAGGACCCAAAATCAAATGTATTTTCTTCTGAGTAATAATTTAAGTATTATAAAAACTTTAAAAATTGTTATAACAATTTACATTTAACATTATATAATGTTTTGAACAACAAAAATTTATACAAATAGCATGAAGTATCTAACTAATAACTTGACCATGAATCCAATGAATCAATCGACCAACACTAACACTAAACCTAATCAACACTATTAATCTACAAAATCGGATATTAAAAATTCAACTCGAAACAAAACAAACATCTTGAAATTCGTATTATTTTACATTTTCCTCTATTGATCTAAAATTGTTATAATATATGGTAGATGCCACAAGAAAATTGAAAAAGGGGAAAAGTGTATAATAAATCACTCACCTCTCAATTTCAAATGTCTTTATTTTTAGCACAACCAATGGGATTCAACTCCATGATTGCAACACCATAATCAGAATCCAGATTGAAACCATCGCCGCCGTACTCCGATAAGGACTTCATCATCATCTTGTTCTTCTTCTTCTTTCCCAGATGACTCTTGACGTAGAAATTTAAGAACAGGAATAAAATGGCGAAGTTGAATACAGAATTAAACCCCCAAGCTCCAATTCCATTACACCCACCTTTCATCAAGTGTAGAAGGAGGACTCCGATATGGCAAAGGAGATTACAACCGAGCAGTAGCATCTGACAATTGATTACGAACGGGAAACAGGCGCTTCGGAAACCGATCGCCGTCCAAAATCTGTAACCGTAGACGACGGAGTAGATCGATGTTGTGAAAAGGATTGCGAGGATTTGGAACGATTGGGAATATTCGAGCCAGATAAACGACATCATGATGAGAATGGAGTGGTTGAAGAGGCGGAAGAAGGAGAGGTTGCGGCGGCGGAGAATGGCGATGAAGGTGCGAAGCGTGTGAAGAAATCGCGTGAGGTAGAAGATGTATGACCAGAAGAATACGCGTCCGGAAGGGCGCGTGCCTAGAGGAAAGCAAAGGAGCCATTGGAACGCGGTGGTTTTATTCCGGCGCCAGAACCAACGCGTGTCTCGGATCTCGGCGGCGGCGGAGAAGAGGATGCCGGTGAAGATTGTGGCGGAGATGAGAGCCATGGACAGGGAGTGAATCGCCGGGATAGGGCCGAGTGGAACCGGACGTCGGCGGTTGAAAAGAAGTAGATTAAGGAGGAGGGAGAGGAAGATGTAGGCGGAGATGGAGGTGAAGAGGAACGACCAAGTAGAACCCCACGATTGCGTATGATTCCATCTGAAATTCACGATCGATGGGTGCTCCGATAAGTAATACATTAATCTCTCTTGAATCATCTCTATGGCAATAACTTTGAGATATAAAATAAGGATTCGGGACACCAACCACGGTGGTTATGGCGTTGGTCGGTGGAGGTTTATGACGGTGGTTTACGGAGGCTTTTCAAGAGTTTAGAGAGAGAACGTTGAAAAGGACATTAATGATTAGCTTTTGTGGAGCTATTGGAAGATATTTATACCCCTTTTTTAATTGTCAAAGTAGTCAAATATAATATATATTATTCCTATAATAATTTTGCCAATTATTCGTTGTAATATTGTACATAAATAATAACAAGATGAACAAAAAATCGTTTTACTCATATATATTTACGGTATATTATATTAAATTAAAATTCATAACATTTAAGTGATGTTATTCTTTTAGAATGGTTGACATATTAAAGGCTAGGTAAAAAAGAGCAAGTATTATAATAGTAAGTAGGAAGTTAGGATTTTGAAGCCAAACAATCTCATTCCATTTCGTTTTTCTATTCCTATTAAATATCCAAATGAAATAGTATTGTTTAATAATTTAATGAGACAAAATCTTTGTAAACTTATTCTAGACTGAAGATAAGCTCATTCGAGAACAATCACAAACACCATAAAAACGTAAAGCAACTCCCCTCCAAGACTTTGTTAACATTTGACTTCAAACGAACATTAGACATCCATAAAAGCCAAAATCCAAATGAATCCAAGTAAGGAATATCCAAATCCCATCAATGGCCAAATAGTGGTCAAATCAAAGTGGTAACATCACACTAAGAAAATATGACAGGCGGATGGCCTAAATCCTTCACAAACAGAACATTAAATTGATGCGATATCAAAACTTCTATCCAATATATTATTTGTTGTATCCAACTTATTCATAAATAACCTACAAGGAGGACTGGAATCAAAAGGCATTGGACGTGCTCGACACGCAGTATTTGGGAACGTCTGACTTCTAGTTTTTAAGAAAACGTTAGTAAAAAAGAAAAGTATCGTTTGACGGCATTAGCGTTTAGCTTTTAACTTAAACAAAACGTTTCAAAATCAAAAACGACATGGAGTAGCTTTCAACAAAACGTTTCAAAATCAAACGCTACCCGCTACTTTTGCCGAACACGTCCATTGCATATTTATATTGTGGTTTTATAAATAGAGTTTGTGCTAGGAGTAGTAACATCTCGTGTATATGTGTTGTAAACTTGTAATTGTTTAGTGGGTAAATAGCACAAAAGATAATAAGTTTACACCAAAATTCTAATTTGACATTGTGTTACTTTTGTTTCAAATTTAGTACTGTGTTTTCCATTTTTCTTTACAATTCTGACCACTTGATCGGTCAACCCGGATACTTGCTGATTTAGTATGATGATGTGTTAATTTTGATGACATAACATGCTTACGTGTGAAAATTGAAATGTTTTTCCTACAAAAGACACTAAGCTTTCATTTTTTTTTTTCGATTTTGACACTAAGTTTAATTTTTCTTTCAAATTTAAAGCTTTATTTTTTTTTCTTCCAAAATGAATATTATTTTTTCCAATTTTTGTTCGAGATTGATCATTTTTCATTTGAAACCGTATAAATATTTTTTTAATACATTTCCAACCGTATAAATTTTCTTTCATTTAAAAACCATATTTTTATATAAATACAAAGTGTTTTTTACAATCAAATCATAATTTTATGTATAAATATTAGTTATATATAAATAATGTTTTACATTAAATATGCAACTTTAAAATGAGTTTGGAAGTTTGGAGACATGTATGGAACAAGGCCCAGATGTCAGCTTTGTAAGCCGTAAACTTTTTACATCTTATTCGAAGCTTATGGTTAATTTGGATCCCATGATATAACTAATGCATATTTATGCATAATATTATGCTTTGAATGTTAAAAAAAAAAAAAAAAAGACCTTGTATTTCTATTAAAATGTGGGTTTTAAATGAATAAAAAATATATTTATACCGTTTAAAATGTGATAAAAAATATATTTATATTGTTTTAAATAGAAAATGATCAACATTGAGCAAAATTGGAAAAATGATGTTCGATTTGGAACAAAAAAAAAACAGAATGTTAAAATTGAAAGAAAATTTTAAATTTAGTATCAAAATCGAAAGAAAAAAAAAATGAAAACTTAGTATCTTTTGTGGGGAAAAACCAATTTTGACATGTCAGCATGCCACGTCATCAAAACTGATACTCATAAATAATTCTCTATTATTCATTTACCAAATCAATTACATTTATTTTGTTATAAGTTTCAAAAATATCACATAACTACTAAAACTAACATCGTCTCTTAAGCCTATGTTCCTAGCATGTTAGTAGTGTTGACTCCGCCAGAGCCTTTGTGAAAGGATCTACAACATTATCCTTCGATGATACTCTCTTCACCAGAAGGTGTCCTTCTTCTACCCTATGTTAAATATAATGGTATTTTCTGTCAATATGCTTGATCTACCATGATCCTTTGGTTCTTTTGTCAATGAAATCATGCCTTCATTATCACAGTATAGTTCCAGGGGTTCTTGAATAGTTGGAATGACTCTGAGATCTCTGATGAAGTTCTTCACCCAAGTTGCTAATGTGTGTTTATTTCAGTAATTTTAGTCATACTTTTTAAATATAATTTAGACACACAAAAGGTAGTGTACTTGTCAATTGGTAGAATAATTAAGCAAGCAGGGTATTGAATACAGGGAACGGTAAATAAACTAACTACTAAAATTATCTAAAAGAAACAAATAATAAAAGAAAAGAGTTTCTATCTAGTTTCGCAAGACTAGAAACTTAAGCTCTTATCTAACACTTAAACAAAGCAACTAACAGCTAAACAAGTAAAAATCAACTAAATTCAATAATAAAGGAGACTTCTGTTCAAGTTCGACTTACTTATTCCTATGGTTGATTTTATGGCACATGTAATGGATTAATTTGTCATTGGTTATCGATTAATGTGATTAGTTTCATGTTCACTATTACTAATCCTTAGAAAACAGATCAATTCAAATAGTGGCCAATTGGTTAAATTAATGAGTTTCCTAGTTTATTGATTCGGATTTTGCATGACTTGTAGTTAGCTAATTAAATTACTAATTCAATTAACTTCTTGTATGGTGGTTCGTCACACAAGCTCACACATTAGCTTACATATTTTCTAATTAACCCTTAGTTTCATGTTCACTATTCCTAGACATATAACATTGTTTTCACATAAATTATATGAGACAAGCAATTAAGAGATGTTCATGCAACTTAATAGACTTGATAATTAACAAAAAATAGTTATTATCAACACATAAGGGTCTTTCACAAGCTCAACAAAAAAAAATTCACCAAATTAAATAATCCAAGCCATAAAATTCAAACCATAGTAATAAGTTTGTCTACCCTAAACAGAAGCTAAGAGTTTTTAGCTCATAATCATGGAAGAAAATATCTCACAAACTGAACATAATGATCTAAACATGGTATAAACACTAGATTAAGAAAATAGAATAAGGTTGTGGCTTTCGTTCTCCTAAAAGTTGAATGCTAAGGTTGATCCTGGAATTCCAAAGCTCCAACAATACTTTCAATCGTAATTTAGTCTCCAAGGGTTCTAGAGAGAAGTCATTGTGTCGTGAGTTTATGCCCTTTATATAGTTTCTGAAAATAGTGGCGACTCATCGAGTCCATTGACCGACTCGCCAAGTCCGTCACATAAATTACATGCGCGGTAAGGTACATGCTACTTCGTGAATGTTCGTATCTACTCGTCGAGTAGGTGTCCGATTTGCCGTGGTCTTCAGGTTTTTGACTCTTTTTTTTCTTTTTTCAATTCCCGAGCTTCCTTTTGCTATTCCTGCTTCCTTTTGCTTTCGAGCATATCTTTTAGGCTAAAAATACAACCAAAACATAATTAAGTACCTTTTGTTCGATAATTACAATAAAATAGCCAAAAAAAGTATTAAAATTCTGCACAAAATATATATCTAAATATGAACATATCAAAATACCCCACACTTGACTTTTGTTTTCCCCCAAGCAAAAATGAATTTTAGCACAGTAGTATTACATAAGATAATCTGAATCAAACCCAACTAATATGCCAAGACCACAACGCATACATTTGTGTCTAAAATTTTCCTAAGGACCCCTGCTAATTCTAAATACTTACAATCCTCATAAACACTTGCTCACTTATTTTGAACAATGCTCATTTTATGCATCCCTCAAAATCCATCCGCAGAAAACTCTCTTAACCTCAAAGTATTTTTGGTCAAGCAAACCAAGCATACATAATCTAGAAAATTACAATTTTTCGATACCATAATGGAGCTCTTTTGGATTCTTCAGTTCTTTGATAATTTGATATTTGATTTGTTGAATTCACCACCTTTTTGTTTGATTTTTCGGTATCTTCAACTTTTTGAATTCTTCAGAATTTTGATCTTCAATTTTCATACTTTGACTTCTACAAAATTCTTACAACTTTTTCTTGTAATTCTCTATTTTTTTTTCAACATGTAAGTCACTTTTTTTCACTAAATACCTACATGCTTAAGTAAGGGTGCTCGACTTCAACCTTTATTGGTTAAAGGTATTAGTCTTCCTGGATACATTTCAAGTGCACGATGATAAACATGTTGCGTCCCTTAAACTAAGCGAGGTAGTGTTTTTGTCCCATGATTTCACTAGAATAAAAGGGGCCACAAATGCATTATAATGTGTATAGGCTCAACTAAACATTTGGATCCTCATAGAATCATCAAATATAATATTAGCATGGAATCCTAATTGCTTTTACCAAAACTTTCTAAACTAACCCTAACAATTTTATGCAAAATTTATTTAAAATTATACCTAAAATAGGATTCTAATGTTACTAAGTTAACTCATATAACCAACCCCCTACCGCACACTTAATTCATGCAATGTCCCCATTTCATGTTATGCATGATATAGAAAACATAAAAGTAAAGAAGGAATTGGAACAAACTCCCCTAGAATAG